ATAATAATAATATTCCGAACACTACCTGTGTAACAACAAAAGACAAGGGCCAGGCAACAGATCGTTTTATTACGGAAATCAACACGTATTTATATAATTTTCACATACATTATTATAGCCTAGTCAAGTAGACTAACGCAGTCTTCTGATTGGTTGTTTTCGAGTTTCTCGGAAAGTGGAGCCGTCTATCTGCGAATCATATTTGCCCACGTTTAAGTTTGCTGTGATTGGTTGTTGAAACAGCCTTGTTCATATTTTCTCACGGCCCATATTAGTGACCTAGACATTGACGTAGATTAATGTCTAGCAATTTCCTAGCAGCCTGCTCTCACCACACCTGAACACATGGTGGAGAAATTTTCAGCTTTTTTGGAAACCATGGGCACTTGGTTTGAGCCTCGTGGGGAACACCATCACTCACTCACTGGCGAATGCAAGTACATCCTGTCGTTGAGCCCCGAATAGGACGAAATATGCATCCTGGATTCCACTGCTAGTCACCATCCACCAATTGAATTTAAGTTACATGACTAGACATCGTCGAAGTATCTGCACTAGAAGCTGACATGTCAACCTGAGAACGAGCGTTTCGGTCCCATCAATCGACGAGAAAATCTAAAGTGAATTAAGTTTTAATGCCTTCTCCAAGTTTTATGGGAGGAAGAAGACTGCCTTAAAATAATAATGAAGCTTTATTTCAAACATTATGTGAAATTTTCAGCGTATTTAGTTCCAAAATGTTTCCCCTTCATATTGCATTTACATGGAAAGTAATAATCTGAAATATATCATGTGATATGGTGTAGTTGCCTATGAAGAGAGAACGAATCCTGTCTTCAAGAATTGCACATTACTGAAATGCAGAACAATATCTATAAAAAAAATAGACCCTGACAACAGGTACTCCAACTAAGCGATTTGTAGTTTCACACATTTCTCACACTAACAGTTGCTGTCGTTACGGATAACTGCCATGTTTTGTTCTTATTATTCTCGATTAAACAAGAATCTCGTTTTGAGAATATTGTCTGAAAAGACAGTAAAAGGTCTACATTTAAACTATCCAGTTGACAGAACGCAGTTACACCGAAAGACTAAGTTTTATTTTTATTCCTTTACGTTCCCAGTGGAACATAGGGCGCTTCAAGCTAGTGGCTTGAAGTTTCGGTAGCAGTGGCGTTTATTCATATGGGATGGGGTTGCTATCCTCATGCCCAACCTTCCCTCTTGACCAGTCTTATTACTGACTTAGCGAGGTAGAAGAGTGCATCGGCGGCTGGGGATCGAATCCCGGACCACATGGGACGTGATCGGTGAGCAGTCTACCGCTGTGCCACCGACAACGCTAAAGAATTACCAAGTTGTAATCTATTTACAAATATGAGCTTTTGTTGATATGTTACTCTCTCAGATATAGCAGAAAAAAATTACCCTCTGTTCAGTTGACCTTCCAATACTTTGTTTCATGATAACTGTGTGATTGTTATCAATTTATGTGATGAATGCCTATCTACATATTAATTAAAACTCTGAAACTGATGAATTTAATTAATTCTTGATGCATAGGTAAGTTGGTAGGTAGGTGCATTTAACGGCTTCACGCGCCACTTACTTTTCCCTTTGAATGATAATGCATTCTCTTCACCTTTTGATTTTCTTCTCTATGTATTATGTATGCTGATGTGCATATCAAAAGTTGGTCATCATGTGTGTTTATGTGTGTGCTTATTTGCATTTTTCAATTGTGTATTATTCATCATAACATATACTAGACTGACTAAATTCATTTTTCAGGTAATCATTTCAGGATTTTTTGTTTTCTTCTCCATTTTATCTTTGTTTTGCTTTGTTTGTTCATTTGTTTCTAAAACTTAAACATGGTGATATAACTTGTTTGTGTAACCCTGACCTTCGTAAGTTTAAGCCAAGGTTATATTGACTTATGTGTGTGTAGGGTCAAATGTAAGATGGTGTGAACTTAAATACATTAATTTCACTCTATTTCTCTACCCTCTTGCCTGCAAAAATGTATTTTTGTTTTTGTACAGAGAGATGTGTGACATCTCATATTCGAATAGTGAATCATAATTTTTCATCAAACTATTCTTATGTGTCGTCGGTTGCACAGCAGTTAGGACGCTCGCCAACCCTGCACATAGTCTGAGGTTCGATCCCCGGCTGACTCACTCCTTTACCTCGCTAAGCCAGAAATAAAGGTGATAAAGAGGAAAGGTTGGGTATGAGGCTAGCAACCTCATTCTGTAAAAATAAACACTGCTACAAAAACTTTGAGCCACTAGCTTGAAGTCGTATGTTCCACTGGGGAACGTGAAGGAAAAAAAAGTTCTGATGTTTTTTTTTCATATGAACTTTCTGAGATGACTATTTTATGGATAACTGTGGTTGAAAAAGAACATGCTATTTGACAGTGCTATTAAATTGTGATGATGTGGTCTCTTCACTAGGGGAAAAATTATAATAAAGCGAAATTTAAATTAATGATTGTAGTGAACTTATATAAGTTATCGCAGAGACCTAAAAAATATTGCACACTTCAAACCGAATCATGAATCAGGGTATCTGAATTAGTAGATAATCGTTCCACAAGAAATAGTTCTATCGGTGCAGAAAATGTTAATGTTCTGGCTTAAATATATGGCATTAAACTACTAGACCTTAGGTTCTAATTCTGCTACTATTCATCCTGGCCAATCGGGGTATTAGCATCAGACGTCATACAGGTAGGTGTGATTTTTTTGATTGCACACTAGTCAGTAAGTAGTGTAATGTGTCTAGTCCTATCTTCGGTGCAGACTGAATTCCATCAGTCAAGCTTGCAATGTGGCCACCAAGCTAGGTGACTCGCCATTACGATGCAGGAGGTCAGTCGCGAGCCTGAATAGCTCAGTGATAACGTCTCTGACTGCAGTTCTCTCTGGGTGACGCGGGTTCGAATCTCAGAAGGGACATGAGTTCCTTCAAGGTTGCAGATACGCCTTGCTGACAGGTGAGTGGCAACTAGAACGAAAGCTAACTCCAAGGCCTCCTGTGGCCGATTGCCTCCAACCATCTAATAGATAGGTGTGATGTATAACCTTTTACGTGGAAACTTTGTTCCATCTACCTGAACTGCCATATTGTACTTAGCCATTTGTGAGTGCCGGATAATGGTTGGAGTGAAAATAAAGTACTGCAGTAACAGAGAAGACATATTGGGCTACATGTTCAACAGGATTTTGTCATTGATTTTAGAAAATATTCACAACCTCATCTACTTTACTAGCTCGTTAGTTTTCTAGGCGGTCCCAAGCGTGGTAAAAGAGGGAGGGTTGGGCGTAGGGCTAGTGTTACTAGTGTTACGGGGGTGGGTGCCTTGCGCTGCGGGTTGGCCACCCCTCCGCACACCTCTTGAAATGCTCCCATATGACCGGGCGTCTTACATAGCCTCTCCTGAGGAAGTCCTACTCACTGCCTTCACGTGGCGGAGGTGTTTCTCACCAAAGTGAGAGGGCGAAAGCGGATGCCCGGCGCTCTCCACCGGGTTGACTGTCCATTGGATGACGGTCTAGGGGAGATGGCTAAACCCTGATTCCAAACCTCCAACGACTGGCGTATGATGCTCACTGGAGCTCACCGGCAGACGTATGGACAAAGGGCTTGTTGGATGTCCTGGATGTCTGGCCCCATTCAAAAAGGCGTATGAACCGAACTCCGGTCACCGGCTGCCAATGGATAGTGGACTCCTTACTCCACTCCTACTGCCTTGTAGGTCACACTTGGCTGTGTGAAGGCTAGAGCTGCACTCTCAAACAAAAGGCCGAGCGATGCTGGGGACATCACTCGTACCGAATTCCCATGAAACTTCATGAACTCTCTTACAAATTGCCGCGCCTGGGCAGCGATGATTCGAGACGTTCATGAAGCCGGCTCATCCTCCCGTAGGAGATAGCCGAAGTAAAGTAAGTAAGTAGTGTTACTACCCAGAAAAATCAATGCTACGAAAACTTGAACTGACAAGAAAAATAGTTTTAAAAAAACTTATTTTTCGCTGGAATCGTAGTAGCTAAATGATGCGGGGTGGTGAAAGCCTTCAGAAATCCAGTCAGCCGATGTTTTTTATTACCGAGGTAAGTAAAAATAAGAATGGGGACGTGGAATGTTCGTTCAATGTACGAAGCTGGGAAGGCTGTCAAGGTAACCAAGGAAATGAGAGGACATGGCATAAAAGTTCCAGGAATATGCAAGAGCAAGTGGAATGGATGTGAATTGTCAAAATTGTCAACTCGGGAATCAGTAATCTACTCCGGTCATCCAGACAACAACCACGAGCACACCGAGGCAGTGAGTGGCTTTATGATGTCGCCAACAGCAGTCAAGGGTCTAAAGCAGTGGAGACTAATCTTCTCCAGGATAATGACAGCGAGATTCAACTTTAAAGGAAGGAGGGTTTCAATTATCCAATGCTACGCACCTAAAAACAACTCGCAATAAGAGAAGAAGGGAGATTTTTATGGACGAGATCGCAAATGGTAGCATCAAAACCCTAATGGGTGATATGAATGTCAGCTACCTTGGAGAAGACCATACAGGAAAAGAGCTCATCATGGGTCGAGAGGCTCTCGGAAAAATAAGTGATGATGTAGAACTCTTCTCAGACTTCTTCACCTTCAGTGATTCGGTTATCGGAGATAGCGTGTGGAATTACTCCGAAAACATACTTGGAAGCCAGTAGAAGAGAGAAGAATTATAAAAGAGAAGATGACTCAATGCAGAGATTGTTAACAGAAGGAGAAGCTGAGTTTGGTGTACGTTTCACTGAATAAAGAAGTGAAGTGCTAGGAAGGACAAAAGAAAATTATACGACACACTGGCAACTGAGGCAGAACACTCAGGCCGCAGGTAAAAGAGACCTCAGAACATTATACCAGATAACCAGGTGTTTATCCAAGAAAAAATCAACATGGGAGAAACCTATGGAAGATGGTCAAGGGAATCTAATTACCAAGGAGGAGAAACAAATAAAACAATGGGCTGATCGCCTCATAGGACTCTTGAATCCACCGTCACATGTAACCCCTCCCGAAATACTATCAACAGCAGATGCAGAACTGCCTTCCAATGAACATAAATTCTCCAACGAAAGCAGAAATTTTGAATGCGCTTAAGCTACTGAAGTCGGGGAAGGTTGGAGAACCAAACGGAATTCCCCTTGAGGCACTGAAAACGGAACCAGAGACTGAAGCAGGTTTGTTGGCGCCATTATTGCAAAACATTTTGAAGGAAGAAAAGGCACCTACTATTTGGAAGAAAGGCCACTCTGTCAAGCTGCCTAAGAAGGATGATCTTCGCCTTCGCAAGAACTGGCGTGGAGTCATGCTCTTGTCTGCGCCGAGCAAAATACTAAATCGCGTCATCTTGGGTAAAATAAAAAAGATGCACTGGATGCAGAACTCCGCCAGACCAGAACAAGCCGGATTGAGGAAAGGCGATTGATGTGTTGATCAAATTGCAACTCTACGCATCTCATCATCACAGAACAAAGCATGCAATGATAGTCAAACCTGCCTACCTTAACCTCATCGACTTGGAAAAGACACTCGATGGCGTTGACTGGGAAGTAATTTAGAAACTACTTCAACACTATGACGTTCAGTGCCTAAATATTTACCAACCTCACTCAACATCTATGTGACATCTATAGACACAGAAGAGATTGTGGGAGAATAAGAAGGGAGATGATTGTGGACAATCGTGGGCCCAGTTGAGGAGAACAGCAGAATATAGAACAAAGTGGAGATAATTATTGAATTGAATTTTTGATTTTCCCGTCGATTGATTGGACCGAAGTGCTCGGTCTCAGGTTGACATGTCGGCTTCTTGTGCAGATGCCTCGACAATGTCTGGTATTTAGTTAGTAACAATTGGTGGATGGTGGCTAGCAGTGGAATCCAGGATGCACATTTCGTCCTATTTGGGACTCGTCAGCTGATGTACCTACATTTCTCAGTGAGTGATGATGTTCCCACTGAGACTCGAACCCAGTGCCCATAGTTTCAAACGCCAAAGCGTTATCCACTAGACCACTTGGGCCACGAGAGCCACCTCTTGTGCAACGGTCATATTAATTATTGAATTGAATGTTGTTTACGTCCTTTGTTGCACTCGGAACCTAAGGGGACAATAATAATAATAATAATCGCCAAGCATTGTCTTAAAAGGAAGCCACTCACCCAAATTATTATTATTATTAACATTAAAAGTTTAGTCTGTTATGAAATAAGTCAATCAATCCCATGAAAAATATTTTTCAAATCTCTTGTATTTCTTGTCAAGTTAGGTTAATTGTGAATAATGTATTTCATCACTGTATTTTCATAATAGTCAAACAGTTGTCGAAAAGCTCTTTAAAAAGTTGCATGGCGTTTATAATACAAGTTATTTTTTTAGTTCAGTAAACATTGTTTTTACTTTTAAATTGTTTATATTGGTCCAGTGTGTATGTGTGTGTTCGTTTTCAAAGAATTGAAATTGTATTACGCAAAAAAGACATGTAATTTATTTCAAATATAACATGGTTAATTCTCGATAACAGTTTACACTCAATGTTTAAACCACAATCTTTTATCAAAATGCTAAATAAATGAGTGAATGAATGATTGAATGACATCGTATATAATACAACTTTGCATTTTCAAGTATTGGTTTTGTGGGGATTTTGTTTGATTGTATGGAGGATTTCACCATCAGCTGACATCAGTTAGAGAACCATTGGAAAACCTGCAAGGAGTACTGGGCAGCTGTTTCGTCCCAGTTTGGGATTCTTCAGCAGTACGCACCCACCGCTAGCGAGCTCGTAGACCATTGAGCCACTGGGACCCGATCCAATGGTTCTTGAATTCTAACTTCTGCCAGCTGTCCAGTACTCCCAGGTTTTCCAGTGGTTCTCTAACTGATGTCAGCTCATGGTGAAATCCTCCATACAAGTATGCATTTATTAAATACCTACTAAACGGAATGTAGAAGTGACGAGGAAAATGTGTAGACTAGTCTTCATAGTTTTTGTTTGCCAAACTTGAACTAACTATACTGACACATTACTTTGCCAAGTAATTGACTGAATTTCAACACGGAACTCTCCACAGAACTGCAGCTGTGAAACTTACTACACTCCATGTAGCACACATGGGCAGAAAAAAATACAAAAGAACTATAATAGCCAAAAAAATGTGCTGGGGAAAGAATAGTCACAACGAAAAACATAATAGTTTAGTGTAAATGGGAGATCATCACATAGGCTGATTATATCTGTCTCATTGTCTCTGCCTCTTTCTCCGAGCTGAGGATGTGCGGCTACTCTAAGTGTTCTATCATTGCTGTCTCCGTAGGATTGCTTGCGTTCGATAGCATCATCGCGTGAGTAATTCTGAGGTTCGGCGGCGTGTGTTTGAACACAATGAAGATCACCATTCATTGAGTGTCATCATCTGGAAACACCGGCTCCGGTGGCTTGGACATGTGCAGCGAATGTCATCCCAGAGGCTTCCGTACAGGTCTCTATTCGCTAGCCAGCCCTGGGACGGATGGAAAAGGCGGAGGGGTGGTCAGTGTATGACGTGGCGTCGTGCGATGAAGGATTTTTGTGCTAGATTAGCATTGGTCGGTGCGTCACGACTCCCTGGTTGGGGTCCGAGAGATAGCTTAAATCGATGGCTCGAAACGTTATCTGATATGGTCAAGAATCGCAGTCATCAATGGCGAACGTGTTGCCATTTCTTTCTTTCTTCCCTTCCTGATGATAGTTAACGAATACTGTTTGAACTTGTTAAGCATGACTGTTTTCCTTCGAGATGAAGTTCTTTATCCGTTTTCTACTTATATTTTTACTTTTAATCTATGTTTTATTATTATTGTGTGGCATATCTTTCTTGGTGCCATATTGTGTTTAAATAAATAAATGTCTGATTGCGAAAGGTTTTGAACCATATCGCCAGTAGTCGCTAGCCATTGGTTACTGGTTCTCGATGATCCCAACTAGACAGTCTACATCTCCCTAAGTGGCTAGCTAGAACCTACTGTTAAGGACTTCATGGGCTGAATCCAGGATTTGGTTTAACGCCGTCTAACTCTTTTCCAACCAAATTCCATGTCGTGTCGGAAGACGCAACTCGTGTCCTAGCCATCTCAGTCAATGTAGCTTCACAACCTCATCGACTGACTGAATCTCTTTACCTAACCCTCTACGCCTAACCTTAATATTACTCACCATATTATGCTACTTAACAAGGGAAACTGAACGCAGACACCTATGATCAAAAATACCCTAACATTTCATACCTGCCACTTGTAATGGCTATGTCTCAGCGATAAATGGGGGAGAAAGCGAACTGGTGCACAGTACGCGCATCCTTTCATTGGCAGCCGGATAATCTCATCTACGTTGTAGTAGTAATTAGTTTTAAATACTTTCAACTAGTACAACGGTTGACAGTTATTGTCAACATGAAAGCACTTCTAAACATGAGATATTTCTTAATAAATCATAATCATCTGTGAATGACTTAGTTAATTCATCATTCAGATAAAGCAACAGGATAATAATACTGTTTTACAAAAGAAACTTATTTCTTCAAATGCCTTAATTGTCTTCCGCCTACATTATCTGGTGATTATACTCTTAAAATAACCATGCGGGATTATAAATTCAATCAATGAGATTGAAAAGGATATTATAGAATTGCATTCAATCATAATGCATACCTTAGTGTTTATTCTTATCTTAATGATTAAAAAAGAGAGGCTGTTTCAAACTCTTAACTAAAGCGATAGTTAAGGATGCATTAACACTAAAAATAGACTATAGAAAGTAAGATTAAAAAAGATTTACGCTTTTTAATAATTGCATTACTTAACTAGATTTCAGTTATCTTGAATAAGTTTTTCATGTACCTGTTAGAAAAAAAATACTGCCTGCTAGTTGTTGCTCAAATGGAATTAGGTAGATTGGGATTCGAGCCCTAGACACCTTTGTTGGAAAATTGAATGCTTAAACCAAGGTGCCAAATGACATCTGAATTCAACTGTTAGTTTGAAAGGATTTGATTGGTTACAGGATTTCATCATGAGCTGACATCAGTTAGATAACCACTGGAAAACCTGCAAGGAGTACCGGACAGCTGTTTCGTCCTAGTTTGGGATTCTTCAGCAGTACGCACCCACCGGGATTCGAACTGAGAACCTTCTGGTTACAAGGCTAGCTCGTAGACCATTGAGCTACTGGGACCCGATCCAATGGCCCACGAATTCTAACTTCTGTCAATTCACTTCAATATCAATGAGATGCTCACTAGCGGCTTGCTCTATTCAGGTAGGTAGTTACCCGGGTTCCGGTGGGAAGTCGTGACCAGTAGGGTGCAGCGGGTCGGGTATGAGGACTAAATACTCGCCGAAGACATTGGCTAGCGGTCGCGCTATGTTGTGAATTGGCAGAAGTTAGAATTCATAGGTGCGTACTTCTGAAGAGTTCCAAACTAGGTTGACGAGACAGCTGTTCAGTACTCCCAGGTTTTTCAGTGGTTCTCTAACTAATGTCATCTCATGATGTAATCTTGTAACCAAGGCATCTGAATTCTTATTTAATAATAATATGGACTGATATAATTCAGAGTGTGAGAAACAGTCTGGGTTTTTATTTCCTACCTACAATCAAACGCTTCAGAAACCTCTAGGCTAGCAATGTTTTATTTCTCACTATTGTGTTGAAACCGATTAATTTGCCTTTGCCAGCTTCATTCACAATGAGCGAAGCTATAACCCATTTGTATAAAGAATGAATGGTCATTATAAAAAAATTACAATGGAAACCATCATCATTCACCTTCTTCTTACCTGTAGTTGTTTGTTTTCCTATTCTTTAGTGCACTCTCAGACTTAAATTCTGGAAACCTATTGTTTTCAGTAAACAAATCACTCACAGATTACAGCAATTTGTATCTAATTTGGCTTTTCAAGTACATCAATGGAAAGTATTTATTTCAAGAGTTAGTATGTAGGGATTTGATTCGTTCCAAGTTTGATCACAAATTGATATCAGATGGAGAACCATTGAAAAACAAGTGAGTACTGCACAGCCCGTGAAAGTTAATCGGTCGCTTACTAGTGACTGACCACACAGAACAAAGCTGCCTCCAGTTCTAGAGAGAGGTCGTGACCAGTATAGTCCACCGGGTCAAGAGTGAAGACAAATACTCGCCGATGGCCGGTGGTCGCGCTGAAATCGTGAATTGACAAAAGTTAGAATTCATGAGCCGTCAGGTTCCGACCCAAGTAGCTGAATGGTAAACAAGCTTGACCTCGTAAACCTAAAGGTCCTGAGTTCGATGCCTGGTGGGGTTGTGGGTATATAGTGCTGAAGAGTCCCAAAACTGGGACTGATATCAAACTTGAAAAATATTTATCATACTTTGAAGTCAATTGGTGGATAGTGACTGGCAGTGGAATCTACCAAAATGCACATTTCGTCCCATTTGGGAATCGTCAACTGAATG